GTTGCCACATACAGCTCCTGAGCGCTTATTATCAGGATTATTGTTGAAACTGTTATGAATGGACGAGGGGAGAAAAAAAAGATGTCGGATTGTAAGCGGTGTTGGGGAGGGGGGGGGGCATGATTGGCTGATGTTACATATGTCCTTGATTACCTTCCTTCTGCTTTTATTCTAATAAGTGGCATTCTTTGTACTCCCTAGGACAGCTAGACAGTCTGACACACGATGAGAATAAATATTGCATGTGGTAGACATTAAGCTGTCATCCTGGAAAAAAAGAAGAGATGGAGAAATCCGTGTGGTGTTCTTCGGCGCTACACTTTGCCTGCTCTTGTCACAATTGTCACATCTTGATGACTCCCCCCTCTCTACCCCAGCCCCCTTATTTTCTCTCGCCCAGTCAACTGCCATGAATGACAGCATGGATACCCCATATAGAGAATTATTTTGGGTGATGTAGAATGTACTCCTCTGGGTTACTGTTTGAATTTCTCATGTTTGCCTGTTTTTTGTTTGGTTTTTTTTTTTTGCACCCCCACCCCACAGAAATATCTTTAATGAGTTATGGCTTTGATATTGTGTCCTTAACGACCATCTTAAAGACAAATCTATGGCGGATGGGGTTGTTAAGGTTTCATCTATCATGTGCAAACGTTTAAAGTCACAATATTTAATGGGTGTAGTTATCAAAGAAAGGAAAGTTGTTTTAAAAAGCTTGTTACCAGCACACCCTCAAGGTTTGTTTGAGATACGATGTGAGATGATGCTCTTAATTAAAGCTGCTCCCATTGTGCGTGCGCCATGTTCTGTTTCCTCCAGCCCATGATTGCTTTGAAGATTGAAAGAAGTTGGTAATATTGCTGATAGTGTGTCTGTGTATGCGCGCGTGTATGTGTGTGTATGTGTCAGATCTCCTCCCTTTCTTAAAGACGCGATGGGTAATGCCTTTCCATCCGGCTATGGCCACAGGGAGCAGAGAGCGTCTGCACTCTTGTCGCTCAGGAGCTCACCACTGGGAGGATGAAAAGCTTCCCACAGAGCCCCTGACTTCCCAGCCTCAAAAGCCACCATGAGCTCATACCTCTCATTTCTCTCTCCCTCCACAGAGGAAGGGAAGAGGAGGGGGTAGTATATGCTGTGTGCCGCAGCATCTTGGCCCCCTAGGTTGCTCATCCTTGTAACCTGGGACCAGACAAACAGGGGGGACTCTGGGTTTATTACTTGATGATTCTGTGTCTGGCATCTAAGCCAGTAGCTGTCAGGACATGTGAAGGGAGTAAGTAACACATTCAGCTGAGCTACCCAGACTCAGGTGCTGGGAGCTCACCTGTGGGTGTGTCAGTGATCGAGCTGTGGAGGATGTAGGTAGCGGATTACTCTTCGGGTCTGTCAGCACTCAATCGCATCGGGACTGAGCACTCAAACCGGAGGTGGCCGACCTTATACAGGCTTAACTGGCTCTGCACTCATGATGAAGCCAACCTGTTTGAGTGTATGTCAGACGCAGGCCCAGGTCATTTCTCAGGTAGCTGCCCCTGTACTTTAGATGTTCCTATTGTTTGAGCCATTTAAGCAGATCAAAGCTCTGACAAAGCCCAGGGAAGCCCCCAGGCATTCAGAAACACAGGAATTATCCCCCTTTAGGATTCTCACACAAAAAGACAAATAGGCAAGCTCCGGAGGGTGGCCCCACCTGGGGAACATCTCTATTCAGAGCCAGTCTGTTGCAAAAGGTCCAATTGTGGGGGGTTTTCTTCTTGTAATTGTAGAATATATTGTGTTTTAAATTACATGTACTTTAAATACAATAAGCATTAGATCCAAAGCTTGCAACAAATGGTGTGATGCCTATTATATTTTCTAAATGTAAGACGTAAGGTGTCACATGGTCTTGGTTTCATGTTGACTGTTTTTTACCTTTAAAAAATAAAAATAATAATAATGCATACATGTTTGAGTTTTGCCAAAGTTTTTCTGGTTTAAAAAAACTATATTTTTCCATTTGATCTGAGAGCACAAACACAGCTTGTTCCTTGGACTTGTTTGAGCCTTCAAGCCAGTGAATGATTAGCAGAAATAATGTCTCTGTCACCCTTAATCACATTAAAACGTGGTTAACATTTAATTTTTCCCACTTGATATGCAAAAATTTCCACTTGATTTGCAGCAGAAGCCATTGGAATTCCATTATAAAAAGAATAAAAATTTCAGGCATCATTTGTTCAGAGAGGGATATCAAGAGCAGAAAGTGCTGAATCTTTCTATTAACCGAGCAGTGAGAGATGGCACTCAGTTCTGGGACATAATAGAGACTGACAAGACACATGCACTCGCACACGCTCTCTCTCACACATGCACACACACACGCACACACATCTTTCTCACTTGTATTAGTTTAGAGTACGAGGTTGATGAAGAAGACCTACAGGGAAAATATTTTACTTACATCTTATTACTGATTTTAACAAAACTGCATATCTTTTCACTTGCTTATTTTTAATCAGGCAGTAAACCTTCCCCTAAAACAAAAGTCAGGCCTGTTTCTTGTGTTAAATAGGCATTTCACACTGTGAATGGGCCTCCACGAACAAGAACACCCCTTTATTCTTTAGTATGACTGAGAGCCATAAAGACACAAAGAAATCTGCAGCATGTTTTACATAAACATTTTTCCAAATTTACACATCCACATAAAATTTCACACAAATAATTGGAAGGGACATAAATACAAATTGCAAAGTGGCACGGGTAGACAGTGGTGAAGTTGACAGAATTGGTTTTGGGAGTCATGTTGACGGCACTTCAAAGCTCTTAATTGACAGCGCTTTGTTTCTGGAGTTGTGGGAAGGGGGTGTTTCATGTTCCTGTGGCAAGGTGTTTGTCTGGTCCTGTGTCACTCAGTGCAAGGACCCGGAGACCCCCGTGCTCATTTGCAGCTCACGTTCTCCGTCTCGGCTCCACATTATTAAAATCATCCCTCAGCCTTCTACCAAGAGCCTCTTTGTTACTTGGCTGGCTTGGCTCAGCTCTGTCAAGTCTCCACCAATTACAGTCTCAGGTACAATGGTCTATTCAAAGGATCACAGCCCTTGACTGGTGTGGAGAGAGTGATTTGTGAATCATTATTCAGCCGCCTGTAGAGAACGCAATACCTGAGGAATGCAAATAACGTGCCACCAAATAGACAGCTGTGCTGCTAAAAGTGACAAACTACAGCTGTTATTATCTCAGATTGGATTTTTCCCCTCTTGGAGCGCCCTCCATCTCCTATGTTTTCAGGTTTTCTGCTTTGGCTAAATGTGTTTTATTTTTCTGTCCTTTATTGGCGAGATGTTGGATGCCACCTTATTGTGTGTTATTGTGGTGGCAGTCAAGCGTCAGATCTGCATACATGGTGTGAACAGTAAGGGAAATATTAGGTTATTCCTCTTAATAGATGTCCATCTGAAAAGGCAGACAGATGACCTGGCATATGAGGCATTTCAGATTTACTGCGCCGGCCTGTGGTGTTATTTTAACTTGTTGAGAAAAACATTCAATCAAAGCAAAACTGTGCTCTTCGTTTTGCCCGTTACCTTGTCATATATTGTATATTGATAATCATTAGGTAGGAGCAGCGATAGGGTGCTGCAGGTGATAAAGCGGTGACATTGTTATTGGAATAGATGTGGTATTGAGGTGGTGTGGTTCCTCCCAGTCTTTGATTCTTATGGGCTTTAAACAGGAAACTAGGATTACAGATAATGACAGGGACCCCTTAGAATCAATCCAGCCCAGGAGCCGCCGTGTGAAAATGGATTTGTGTGATGCTGCTCTTTGAGATCCGTCCAATCCCAGCCTCGGAGCTTGTGAGGCTAATCTCATAATTGCTCTAACCCCCTCGTATTGTTCTGACTGAGGGTTACCATTAGCTGTGAGGATATCTTTGTCCTGCAATGTCAGGTGTCCTGCTGGACAAGAACACGTAAAGAAAAAAAAAGATCATGCAGTTAAGAAAGTGCCAAAGATAACAGTAGGTGGTTAGTTGCAGTGCTTTCTCGTTGCTTGAATGTTAATGTTTATCTAACATTCAAAAAAACACTCGGCTGGTGGAAGATTTCTTTTTTCATAGTTTAAAAAAGTATATCGTGAATTTCACTTCCACATTTCAGAGAGAAATGTGTGACTTTTTGCTTGAGCGATTTCAAAATGCACTTATTAAGAACAGTCTTGTTGTCGAACTGATTATTTTAATGTCTATTTAAATCATTTATTTATTATCTGCAGGAGCAAAGGTGTCACATTTATTCGAGAAGTGCAAAAAGGGAAGGCATCATCTGTTTGTTTTTTGAACTCTTTTGAAAAGAAGCCATGAGGTGAACTGCTGACCTTAGCCACTTTTCCACCTAAAAGTGGCTAAACCGTCTTTCTGTGCAATTAATTTAAGAATACCTCAAATTACAACAAGGACAAAACAGCGTGAAATGACATGCAAATGTCTTTAAAAGTCTGAATTAGGTTAATGATACAAAACACAACATTTAACACCATAAAGAAGGTGCTGAAAACAAAAAGAATCAGGTAACATATTTAACAATAAAATAAAATGAATGAAAACCCAAACTTCAGCAAAATTAAATATTCTTGACACTTTTTACTGCTTTATGTCTTAAAGTGGAAATGAATGCCCTCCTACTTTTGGCATCATTTTAGGATCACTGAAAATATTAGGACCTGTTTTATACATATATATATATAAATCCAGTTTTTGTATTTTTATTATGTTTCTTTCTCTTTGCTAAAGGATGTGTAGTCAAGTCTGATTTTTAGTTGAGAACTTGAACGGAAAGAAAGTCAAACTCTGAAAGGAAATGCCACCTTTAGAGTGCAGTCTCCCACAAACACTCATATTTTCAGCTGCTCTCATGAATATGCATGCATGCAGCGAATAACAAATACGTTCATGTTAATCAAGTCCTCCAACGTGTTTTGCGACTGCTGTTTTTCTTTTTTTTAATCAGGTTGGTGAAAATCAAGGAGTGGGTGGACAGTCATGACCCCGGAGCCTTGGTCATCCCCTTTAGTGGCGGCCTAGAGAGCCTGCTGCAGGACAAGAGTGAAGAGGAGAGGCAGAAGTACAGCACAGAGCACAAGACGCAGAGGTTAATTAGCATTCAGTCTCCCCACACTTTATTATCAGCTGTGTCCTCCATGCACTCCTTTAATTGCATGTGCTGATAGAATAATAAATGGCAGAGTAATTACCATTATAAAGCAAAGGATCCCTCTTCTTACTGAACAACTCAGTCAAAGGGTTTTCCTCTAAATTAAGTTTTTAACTGTCATCTGTCATCTGTAGGTATAATTATAACTTGGGCATTTTGGGTTTATTGTTCTTGTGTGAAAACCTCTATGGAGAGAAAAATTGTGACAGGAGATTTTTTTTCCCCCTTCTTTCTCTCAGCAAAGATCGAGGCATTGGGTTGAATTCTTAAAAATGTTAAATGAGTCTACAAGCCTCCTAATTAATCAAAGAAACCATTGGAGAGTTGAATGTCTTATGCGAAACGAAGTGACCCATCTTATTCACTTAATGAGTTTATATTGGAATGAATGGGGCCTTGCCATTGAGGTGAACTTTGTCTAGGCATCAGCAGCGATAAAGAATACTTAAACAGTTCAGACCCCTCGATTCAAGCTGAAATCTCTCCCCACCAGTGCCCTGAGCAAGATCATCAAGGCAGGCTACGCAGCCCTGCAGCTGGAGTACTTCTTCACTGCTGGACCAGATGAGGTCCGTGCATGGACCATTCGGGTAAGTGCCAGCTGCCTGCTGTGCGCATACGTACATGTGAGCGTGTGTATCAGACTCACACACACACACACGAATACACACAGTATCCCATGTTCCACCCTGCTGGCACCTTCACTGATATCGCACACTTTCAACTTTGTCATGGTTGTGCTTTAGCTAGTCATTACAGACCAAGGATAACTTCAATTACTGGTGAGCTGCTGAACAGTGAAAGTGGGGGCTACATTGATTGAGGAGGGCAACAATTGATTTTGCCCATTACGTCCATGAGAATGTTTCCATCCTGTGCAGATCTGCCTGCCCTCCTCCTGCCGCTGGAGATAAGGAGCCCGTGCATTGTGCCTGCCTAATCTGTGTGACGGAGGTTGTCTGTGCCAAAATTGATGTCGCTTTTCATTCGACTGTTTGTGGGCCTTGCTGGGGGCTCCTCCTCCCCGTGTGTCTCAGTTTACTGAGCCCAGCCCGCCAAGAGCTTTGTGCAATGGGATCGCAGCATTTACATCAATACAGATGTTTGCTTTGCATGTTGGTATTGTGTCCACTTATATTTTCTTTCCTTGAGCAGATAGAAGTATCGAGTGCAGAAATAATAAGCTATTTTGTCTGAGTAACATTTATAAGTTCATATCGGTGGTTTAAAAATACAACAAAGTAACTTTTGAGAAACTTCAACAACTAAAGATTTGGGTTGTATTCAGTCATACAAATTCATATCCATTCTTTCATCCCATCAGATATTTCAAAGGATTGTAATTTGAATGTTTTTTTTTTTACGATACAGAATGCTTTCAATCTCATAAACATAACTTGTCCGTTTGAAAAAAGGAGTCCCATTTTCAAAAAAGCATTGCAATTTTCCACAATGGCATCTATTCAAAGAACTTGTCACCAAGCAGATCATTATGGTTTTGTTCCCCGAGTGTGAGACCGTTCACTGTTCACATTTTGTTGTTCAATTTGTTCAAAATCTTGAAATAGCCCACTATAGATGGTGGAGGCAATAATGGTAGAAAAAGTCTCATGTGTGGGCGGGTTACAGATTTGACCACTGATGGAAATACTGCTTAAATTTTTATCTTGCCCAAAGATGGCATCACTTGTCCACTTACAAAACACACATAAATAGGGGTGTTTGTTCTGCGTGTGATGCAGCTTTACCAAGATCATTTTCCCTTGACTTTGAATAAGCTCATATTGGCTTCAGCCTATTTTCAGACATCTACTTTTCAGTGCATGGGTGGATTATTTTGCATAAGATTTACGAGTGCACTGTTCTTCACGAAAAGATGAATCGATTTTTCACACAAACAAAACACTAATTTAAAATGCTATCTCGTGCTTCATTATTATTACTATTATTGTTGTTATTATTGTTATTATTAGATAGAGACGTGGCTTCAGACAGTTACATTATGAGTAATACACAGGTTTCCAAATATCCCCTAGAGGACTCCAATATGCATTTGTAATATCTGCTATAGCAAATTGCAGTGATAAATGTCCTGTTTCTTTTTTAACTAATAAGAAAGACTTTTTTTTTTTTAAAAAAGCACAAGATTTTGCCTTTTTCTCCATTTAAATATATTTATATAAATATATAATAAAATTGCATGTTTCTTATAAGGAACATAATGTTCACTTGATTTTTTTGGCATGAGAAAAATGACACATACTTTTTTTTAATGGGATCTATATGAATTTCTGCTCTCCACTAGACAGGGTCTCCTTTTTTTTTTTTCCTAATTCTTTTATATTGTGGTTGAAACAAAATTTAGCCACCTTCAAACGATTCACCAAAATCATATTTCGGGTGAATGTTAAATGTTTTGTTGGAGATTATATGACACCCATCCACACATCAAACTTGATCCTTTATTTTTCTTTTCTAAGCATTTTTAAACTAAGCACAACCCAGAGGGGAAGATGAGCTCACTCGCTCTTCATCCTCACAAGACACGTTACATTTTAGTCAGATGACATCACCGTGTTTAGATGCACACGTCTCAGCATGACTGATGTCCTCGCTATTTAGAGCAAAGTCCCAAAACACTTCAAAGGCATCCTGGAAAGCACGCTTGTCCTCCTCGGCATAACTGATTACAGCCAGCCTTGATTGTGTGTGAGGGGCATTTAGTCAGGTAAGCATCAGTGAGTAACTATATTAAGCCAATACATCTTGCATTGTAAAAACTACACTCAGTAATGTCGTGTTCCTAAGTCCTTTAACATGCTTTATTAGGCAGCCTCGAGGTGACCATTATCTATCAGCCTGCTCTGCATAGCTCTTAACTAGGACAATGTGGATCTCTTGTAATGCACCATATGAAAAAAATCCCTCCCTTAATCTATTTTTCTCCAGATAGACAAACCTTGATGCTGATTAATGGTAGTTAAACTCACAAGCACTCCGTCAATGAGATTGCAAGTAGATGGTAATGTATTAGAGTCATTAAATACGCATCATTCTTTTGGCATGAAATATGTTGACCCCAACCTGATTATATACATAATTAAAACTGCTCAACAGTTTCTGAGCACGGAGCTGCAGAGCAGAGAGGGAGCGAGCAGGTCGACAGGCAGGAGTCATAATGATGCACAGCAGCCACGTCACTTATTTGGGTCATTTGTCATTTCCACCCAGCATTATTTCAACGCATATAAATTGCACATTTTGTCAGTCACCAGTTTTGTCTTGGAGTGTTAGAGAGGGCTCAAAGTGCAATATATAAAATATATATACATATTTTATACATCTATTAAACTGTTACATGTAAATTGAAATCTCAAACAGCTCCAGTTAATATCAAATCTCTGCTGTGTAAATGTAAAAAGTTATAATACTCCAAAACTCACAGGAGTACATTCAACATAGTGAAATACCACTGAAGGGTTGAGCTGAATTTGAATTACCAAACTCTCACAATAGTAAAGGCCTGATGCAGTGGGGTCTATACCACGCTTGCTTCTCACTGCAACGCTGGGTCTTCTTGCTGTCATGACCAGAGAGCCGAGCAGCGACCCACAATGAGGCAAGATTGCTTGGACAGAAATCAATACCACCACGGAATGGGAATCAGGAGGCATTGATAGCAGTGCTGGGTCCTTATCGGTGTCCAGGCTACCCTAGCAGGTCACAACTGAGTGGAAAGCTATCCAGAAATCAGGACTGAGGCAAGAATACCCCCGACTGAAAATCACCCCCAGAGTGATCACAACGCTATCACCCCATCAAACACCGTGTCGCTCGCATGCTGTAATCCATCTTCTCCAAAACAATTCATTTGTCCTCTCTTTTCCTTCCTTGTGACAGAAAGGAACTAAGGCTCCACAGGCTGCGGGGAAGATCCACACAGACTTTGAGAGGGGCTTCATTATGGCGGAAGTAATGAAATTCCAGGATTTTAAAGAGGAAGGCAGCGAGAGTGCTGTCAAGGTGAGCAGTCAGGGTGCCAGAGGAGATGAGGGGAAGTCTCCTGTGATCAGTGGAGCTGACAGTCGCCACACAGCTCCTACTGAAAACTGCTCTTCACCTTTACTCAGGGGAAGAAATTACTGCACACACTCCAGCACCACTCCTGACAAGCCAGCTGATTCTGGCTCTAAACACTGCCATTCTGCTCCAGCTGTGCATATCTTTATCACAATGTGTCTTAACTGGCTGATGGTAGTTCTTGCTCGTGGCTCAGCGCAGTCGCTCCAAGGAAGCACTTCTTCACCTCACCAGGCATTTATCAGATCTACAGAGTGCGCTGTTAGCTTAGAGCTCTCTGTTACCAAATCCCCAAGCCACTGTAGGCATGTGACAGTGATATAAAGCGGCAAGTTAAATAAAGTGTGAAATTCCTTAAATAAGGACTGTTTCATGGTTTGCAGCACAGAAATGTGACTTGCATGTCTCCTGTTTTTATGGGCAGTGTTTGTTTTGACCTTTTTAACTGCACCTTGTGGACACACCTATCAAGTGTATTAAGTCATTTCACTGCTAAAGGCAACACAATACTTTTCTTTCCTGCTCCAAGTTGTACTTTGACATTGAAAATTTGTTTAAAATCTGCAAACTGTAATCAACTTATCGAATGCACACGGTTAATAATGAGTTCATCGACACTGTAGGATGCCTTTTAAATTAAAGGTGCACTTTTTTTCAATCCTTTATTTTCTTTAACGAGAAAAAAATCTACTTTTAAATCTCAGTTAATTAAAGCAGAAGTGACTCTGATTTTATGTGCAACACTTGTGCGAAGCAGCTGTAAGCCATGCTGTCGCAATCCCCCTATCACCACCATCAACTCCATGTGCCCACTTACAGACTCAACTAATGTAATTATGGTGGCACAAAGGGCCCACGGGGACCAGTGTGGAAAGGAAGCACTAAAAAAAAAAAAACATTTAAATCTCCTTGCTATTCAAGTCCTTTTTAATAAATATTTGATATTTAATGCATCGGCAGTGTATTGTCCACACCCTCCATAAGCTGCAAAAAGAGAGCGAAATATGTAAGTCTCTGGGGGGTTTCGCCATTGTTATCAGAGGTTGAGATCTCAGTGTCAGGTCCTTACTGCATGCTCTCTTACTAATCCCTTTTTGAGCCTCAGAAGAACATGGAGCGTTTCTGACTGTGGCATTAAGGTCCATGCTATTTAATGCCAGTTGTGGGAATAGGCTGTCTGAATAGGGCCAGTGTACAGGGATATCACATTATTAGTAATCATATCTGCTTAAGCCAAGCTTGCTGCTCCAGATGGCTGCTTTCAAGTGCAAATGAACCAGTTAGACGTGTCTGGTTTAATACATACTCAGGAATCACAAATAGCCATTGATTTTTTTTCCTGTCTCCCTCTCCATCCAGTGTTTCTGGTGGTATTGAGCTTGGATTAAATGGTCTCCTGAGCCTTTAAAGGGACATTGATTCTTCTAATTAATTGTGCACTGTGCAGAACCAGAATGCATAAACCTGTCCGTATTAGCACTTCAAGTCAATTATTTTGAGTTTGCCGGGAAGGAGAACAAACACTTACTGTACACAAAAGAAATGTTAGAACTTATTTTGTTTCCTTGAGAAGTTTTATAGTGCTGTAATCAAAGACTTATTAACATTTTGTGCTTGTGCACATGAAACTGAAATGGGCAGAAGAGAGGATTATCACTCAGTGGGAATTCAGGCACCCCTCAAACAAAACATGCGTGCACTTGTGTGTGCGTGCGTGCGCCTGTGCAGGCGTGTGTGTGTGAGTGTGTATGCATGTGTAGATGAACATTTGCAAGTGTAATTTTAGTTCAAGTTAAATCTTTTCTAATATTATTTAAATTATAAAGAGTTTTTAATCTGCTCGAGTTCATCCACATGACAGACTAGCTATTTCTTAGCATACAGCTTACAATCTTTTATATTATTTTAATGATTCTTTTTATTTTTTTAACCCCACAGGCAGCTGGTAAATACAGACAGCAGGGAAGAAACTACATCGTCGAGGATGGAGACATCATCTTTTTTAAATTCAACGCGCCGAACGCACCAAAGAAAAAGTGACGCAAGAACAATGCGTTTGTTTGCACAACTGACTGTCTTGTTGCCTTATATCTGGCCACTTTTACACTTTTTGTTTTCCGTGCTGTAGGACTGAATCCTCCACTCGTGTGCCAAGGCACAGGTTCAGCAAACTCTGACAGCTTTGCTATTTAAGATCAGGATCGGCCCCCACTCCAAATTGTAGCAGCATTTGAAGGAGCATATTACTCTCCAGATACTTCATTAATCTCCATCACGGGTGCCAACACTGACACAGCTGACAGCGGGGACAATGCCACCTGCTCCTCTCCCCCTTCTGCAGATAATGCATGTTTTACAGTAGCCCAGATGTCTACACTCAATAAAACATTTGACAAAACCAGTCTGTGTGTGTTTTGGGATGTCTGTATTGAGTGGGAAGCTGCATGGGGATAGTGATAGCGGTCCTGCCGACCACTGATTAGAGAATTAAAAGACACAGCTGACACTGACTGTAGCATAGAGGGGACAATTATAATTAAATCTGTTAACTGAAGCTGATTTTGGAAGGGCACATGCTGGATGCAGGTGTCTTGGCCAAAAGAAATGGTCACTTTAAATGATTATTTGCAAAGAGACTGAGTTAACCTTTCATTTATCATTTTTATGACATTATTGTATGATATTATACATGCGCTCTCTTTCACTATGCCACCAGCTTTTCGACTCTGTCCCTAAAAAAAAAAAAAAAAACAGAAAAATAAGAATAGCACATTTTTTATGTTTAAAGTTTCCTACTCCCATCCTTGAACAACAAATACACATCTGCACACACACAAAAAAAATCCAAGAAATATTCATACAAGCCATATTTTTACAAAAATAAAAATAAAAACTCCAGCTTTTAGTATATTCTGTATGGTATGAAAATAGAAGTTGATACAATCCACAAGCACAACCAGAAAACGATTCCTGTTGTCTGAAGTAGTGTTTTTCTCACCCCCTATACTTTGTGTGTAAGTGTTTGTGAAGCGTTTATGCTGATGGAATTGTATGGCTGCAGCCGCAGTGCTCCAAAGTAAGATTGTATTCTCCGTGGGAGTCCGAACAAAGAGCTGCAGATCAGCAGTGCTTTGCTGAATATCTTGTAACCATTAAGACTGCGGAGAAAAAAATGGCTTTTTGATGGGAACAAAAAGATTGAATAAAAATGGTCATTTTTCAGAAAGAGTATTGCATATCCAAGTTTTTTGGATGGGATGTTTTATGGAGTGGAGCCTGTGCTCGCACTACAAAGCATAGTGTTTGTCATGGAAATAAGGTGGATTATAGTTTTCAGAGTTTGAGATCAGTGGCAAAATATAGGATAGTGTTTATTGTGGTTACTTAGAAAGAATGACGGATGACAACATGTGTATCAAATAACATTAAGCTTATTTTTCTTGGTAGCTTTACCATTAACCAGTGGTTTTAATCACTGAAATTTCTTGCAGCAGACCAAGAATGTTATTGCTACCAACACTTAGAGCTCTCGCGTACAGTATATGCTTTTACGACGGACTGCTTTGAGTTGACTGGTTTCTAAGTGAAACCATACAAATCCTCTGGAGAGCACAATGGGGGCTTGAGACTAAACTGTTTTTGCATTCTTCTCGGGGTGGTATTGGTGTTGGCCAACCTAAACCCAACACAGAAGATTATTCATCTGCTGCAGTTTTGAGGCTCAGGGATTGATGAGTTGTTCCCAGCGGTCTGGGTCATGGAGTATTTTGTTTTTCATAAAGTGACAATAAATCCTTTCAGGGCAAGTAATAAAGCTATTTAGAATCATGCAGATGCAGTATAGGAACAAAACACCAGACCGAAAAAGTCCTCAACATGCTGTTTCAGGATTTGATACCAATAATTTTGCTGTCACAGAAGAAGCAAGGATTCATGAATTATAAAGTCATTGGGTGTCCTGACATCATGGAACACATTATAAAATATATATATATGCACAACCTCACAGTTAATAGCAAAAACAAACGCGTGTTAAAGTATCCGTAAACATTACCGGGTGACATAGGTAGGACTGTAAAAACTGCCCGGCAGGGCTCATGAAACGAGCCCAGAAATGTGACAGAATCTCTGCTGGTACAAATGTGCCGTCAGCACCATCAATCAAGTGGTGCCACTCTGCCCCGAGGCAAACCACAGTGGCATCAAACCAAGAAGGACACAGAGTGGAAAGCTCACTTTAAAACACACACCCAACAAAACAGACTGCGGCCTGCTGCTGTAAATCACACGGACACCAAAGAGCTTTGAAGATTTTTTTATTTATTTTTTTAAACGGAATGTGTGAGTTATAACAAATAAACATATAAATAACTATGGCATTTTTCAGAGCAGTAACTACACACGAGGGATCGTGTTGGGAAATTCAATGGTTATTATAAACATGCTGTATCATATTATTACTGTGAGGAAATTATCTCTATTTTGGATAACAATAAAAATGTTGCCATGTTGTAATTGCTGCTATTGTGTGACTTCTCTGTGTGCCAAATGCCGTACGCTGAATGGAGGTAATACGGAAGCAGGATTGGACTTTAAGGGGGGAAAAAAGTTTACATTCACATATGATACTTCATGCAAGCGTTTCCTCTCATTCATGTTGAACTACCATGCTTTGATTTATTGCTCCCACAGTCAGGGTGATAAAACACTGTCCAACGTAGTGCTGAGTGAAAAGAATGCCATAAACAGCTGAGAGGAAGCTTAGAAAAGAGTATTTAAATCATAACCTCTGGAATTTAGTTTCTCTTTTTCTTTATTGTTGCCACATCACAAATCTCCTTTCTGTGCCATCATGGTCGCAGTCTTAATAACAAGTTAGGTGTTTAAACTATCACACAAAATGCAGCAAACCATCATTTAAACAATAAACGGCTACATCGTCTATGTAATGTCCAAGAAACGACTCCTGCGCATCTTCCCACCTTTACTGTTACGTGCTGCTCTAACTGCTGTGCATATATACTGGCCTCTTAATTACACACACCTGCAAAATCTATTGCAATTCAGAGCACCAGCTCTGAAACTATAATTAATAATAGTTTAAAATCCGTAATTATAATCTTATAGTTGATATATAAAGGTGACAAGTAAAGGTGTTGCACTGGACTAGGTGTTTTGTGTCCTCTATTTTGTCATTACTGAGCATAATGCCAGGCATTATTTACTATGCAAAAATATGGAACTGCATTACAATTAATTGTGTAGCTGTAACTGTGGCCACCGAGTTTAACCTCCTGACACGTTGTGTCCTCATATGGAAACGCTGCATTTTGGCTTTTCTGCTACTTATACTTCATTCTTCTCAATAAAATGTTTTTACTCTGTTAAACAATGGTGACTTTTCGGTTATGCTGTCAGGTTGAATCTACTCCACAATGACACATAATGTGTATCTGAGAAACTTATACCACGTTGCTGAACTCTGTGCTGCACCCTTGCTCCGCTGTTTACCGCACTGCTGGTTGTCTAGCTGCTGTTTATGTTTGTAAATGTATGTCTTTTCATACTTTCCACCTTTGTGCCTGCTTGTCGTTGTTTAACCTTTGCTTTTGTGCCATGCAATCTACTATCAAAGAACCGTCTATCCTTATATGTTTAAATAAAATTCATAGGTTCGATTGTGATCCCGAATGGGAAATGCATCCACACATCCTCTGTGTTGACAGGAAGTTGAACTTCCACAATAAGAATATCGTAAAAAGTTTTCTAGTAGCTACGTTTGACCTCAGCCCTCATTGTATAAAGCGCCTCTGACAAAGAACGGTATGATTGTTCCTGTCTCAGGTGCTTCATAGTTGTGTCTGACACACATTTGATATTCCATCCACACTTCTTCATTCTGCACCAGTTTCAATTTTCTCTCTCTGGACCCATTTACAGTGCCCCCAGTAGGGCAGTTTCTCTCCGTGGGGTCACTCTCTCTTGGACTGGCCTTCATGAAAACAACTGTCAATATGTTAATACGAAACACTCAGAGCCATTGTGGACTCACTCAGTTATCTTTCTTATTTCTACTATGTGCCACATAAGCAATGTCCACTCCTAGAAGCTGCTGCAGAGAAGTTTTTGCATTGCAACAGACTGCTTTGCTTTTATAGACTTTCAACTATAATTTCATAGAGTTTATTAATAAAACATTGCATTTGCATAGTATTTTAAAGGTCCTCGCTCATGTAGTTAAAAGGTCATTTCTGCCCATGCTACACTGAACTTTTACAGACAAAATGAAACGTCCACTGGGTAACTGCTCTGCAGATTTCAGATTCATCTCATGAGGTGCATACAAGATCTGTCAATACAATCTAATTTCCTTTGTTTGTAGCTATGGCTCTAGAGAATACTCACAGGTTTAAAGACAAACACAAGAGCAGTAACCTGCCTCTTGTAGGCCACTGCATCCACCAGAGTGTTGTTTTTAGGATATTTGACTCTTCCCTTTAACTTCGAGGTCTGTAGAAATTGTTGATACGTTTCCAAGGACTCCTGGAGTAAGACAGACGTAGCTGCAAGGTTTTTCTAAAGCTGTTTCCATTGGCCTGTGTTTACCTGACATTTGGATTGACAGCAGAGTGATTGGAAATATCCACCATTCACTGCCGTGAGCTCCTGAGTGCACGGAAAGTGCTTTTGTAGTCTGGCTGTAATGGGCCAAGTTTGAATTGAAGGTTGGGAGAAATAGCCTCACTGCGGTCGCGCACTGTGAGGAACTGACACACCACAAATAATACTGAGAAGTGGGGTCCTGATAGCATCACAGCCACAGAGCAGATACAATAGCATGCAGACTCTCATTTCAATGCACTTTCACAATGTTGTAATACGCACAATCAGATGGAGGGGAAGAAATCCAGTCAAATACAACCTCAGATTCTGTCTCAAATGTGTTTTATCCCCAAGTAAATGACACAAAAACTTCCTATTTCCATATGCATCGTGGGAGAATTCAGAATCGGAATTTCACATATCATCGCCTTAAAGAGTAGAGTAAATCTCTTCCCTAAATTTTAAAATATGTATGAGCTAATCTAGCATTCTGACTCAGTACAAACCATCAGTTATATTAGTTCAGTCCCAGCAGGCCACTAACTGAGTTTTTAGTCAAAATCCACCCTTTTGTTACTTTGCATGATGAGAAATTAAAAACCTTGTACACACAAAAATATTATATTCCTAAGTTATGGCACCAGCAAAGATAATAGTGGTTTGGTCGATTAAATTAGAGTCACTTTTTGATTGATTAACATTTTGATACTTGTGTTGTTCATCTTTTATTTCCATGGGTCCTTATATGTGTGTATGTGCATAAATGTGTGAGCAGGGAAATATTTGTCTGTGTGCTTTGCTGACTGATTTTAACTGCATCTTACTGTTTTTTATCTGCCCGGAAACTGCAGATGGAAATTAACTGGTAGCTAAATCGGATACAAACCATGCGATTCGTGTATTTTGTACATGGTCGCTGAAACTAATGAAAAGAAACCCAAACACCTGATATTTGCATTAGCTCGATTGCTTCTAAATGTGTGACTTCACAGCAGCCATCTCTAATGTTTTCTTGCAAAATGGTAGGCTGATCTGCAGGACCTGTGGTCCCATGATCTGTGACAAATGACAGAACATTAGCCACATTGGGACGTAACAAATATGGTTTTAGTACACCCTTTTTAAGCAACTTTATAAAATCTTCCTTCTTTAACAGGGAGAGGAATATTGCAAGTTTCACTTCACTACATTTGTCAAACAGTTGTAGTTACTTTTCAGATTACAGTTTGTAATATTTTATCTGTGTCCCATTTCTTTTTAATAAGAGGTGAACTTGCTGGTGTGTTTCCGGTCATTGTCCTGTTGCATAACCCAAGTGTATTGTACTTCATGGCACAAACTGATGGTTGGAAATTCTCCTTCCGGATTTTCTGGTAGAGAGCAAAATTCATGGTTCCATCAATTACGACAAGTGTTCCAGGTCCTGAAACCGCAAAGCAGCCCCAGACCACCGTATTACCACCACCATATGTGACTGCTTTTTACGGAAGCGTAGAGCTGCCACCCAGGCAATAGAAAAATACAGCTATATCACAATATAACTTGAAAACTTTATTGTTCTAACAATATACTTTTCATGTTAGTACAATATACTTTTCACATTTGAACAACATAATATCACGTATTACAATGTACATAATTATCACGTTATAACAAAAAAACCTTTCACATTCTTACAATATAAATATAATATTACATGAATGTGATAATTATGTCAATTGTAATAACGTGATTTTATGTTGTTGAAACGTGAAAAGTACATGGTTAGAACAATAAACTTTTCGCGTTATAACGTGATATAGCTCTATTTTTCTTTTGCCTGGGTGGCAGCTCTACGCTTCCGTAGCTTTTATCAAATGCTATGTTAGATTTACGCCATGTGTAACAGGACACAAACCTTCCAAAAAATGTCAACTTTTGTAATGTCAGTCCCTAGAATATGTTCCCAAAATTGCCTTGAGGAGCATCAAGATGTTTTTTTGGCAAATGTGAAACAAGTCTTTTTGTTTTTCTCCTTGAAACTTTCAGATAAATACCATTTTTGCCCAGTGTCCCTCTTATTGTTGAACACTGAAGTTGACCTGACTCAGGCAAGTCAGGTTTGCTGTCCTTCAGATGTTGTTCTAGGTTCTTTTGTGACCTCCTGTATGAGTCACCAATGCGATTTTAGAGTAATTTCCTGGAAAGGTTCACCACTGTTCCAAGGTTTCTGAGTTTGTGGATAGTGGTTGTAACCGTGGTTCTCAAGAGTCGCAAAGTCTTAGGCTTTGCATAGATGTCAATTACTTTGTTTAGATTGCGGCATGGTGTGTTGCTTTTTTGAGATATTTTTGCCTACTACTCACAGTACTTATAGTAAAGGATACTCACTATTGATCACTGATGAACAGATGATCTGGTGGAGAACAGCTGTAGGTGGCAGACAGAGCTCTTGAACTATAGTTAGGATCATACAGAGAGCGTGACTGCCATGCTTTGGACTAAAACAGGGTTCGTTCACTGCTAACAACAATGTAAATACAACCCTCAGTGCCACCAACACAGTCCAGCTGAAAATGCATACCAAACAGGAAAAGAAGCCAACAAAGGATGACTGACGTGTCGGCTGACAAATAATAACAAGGTAAAACAAACCAGCAGCCAATCATTTTATGTGGAACGGCGGGATTTCCTGTATGTGACGCAAATGCTCCCAGTCAACAGCGGAGGCCCCACCCTTTGTGTTACCTACCGCCCGTCAATCAAAATAGAAAAAAATCAGACACTTATCACTAATTTCCACGCGTATACAATCAGTGTAATCTCTTGATCATGTCCGGTGGCTTGTGACTATCAAGACTCTCCGTTTTAGGACAAGTCACGCAATGACTGGTACGTAATATCCATTATTTTGCACCCACGTATGCTAACGAGCTATCTCGGGTTCCTCTGGCTAAATTAGCTCGCTAGCAGGCTAGTGGGGATTCTCGATGGTGATAGTGCTAATCATCGCCGGCTAAGTTGGCAGCAGCGGCTAACGCAGGGCTCGATAGCTTAGCTGTCTAGATTAGCTTGTGTAGGACACATCACTGTTTAGCCTTCATTTAACTAATCAGTGCTACAGCCCCGTTAAATGGAGGTTTGTGATATTAGTAACAGCGGATGTAGTTGTCGGTTTAGTGGCTAACTGTACTTTAACGTGGGTGTGAGTCACAGGTTTGTTTAGCTAACGTTAGCTTCGGCTGTTCCCACAGTAAATGTTTTTCACTTCACAGCCCCAGAACAGCCAATGAAAGCGGATGATATGGCTGCCTTAGACGTGGACAGCAGTAAGAGCGACTTTTTGCAGCAGGAGGAAGGCAGGGGCAATCAGGTAAGATTTTTCTACTGTATCGTGGTTCTCGTCATAGGTCTTGCCTGCGGTTTTAGTAACAAGAGAGTTTGCGTTACATATTTGAAACCAGGTGGGGGTTATTATTGTACCCTGATTTGAACTTCTCAAGCAACACTTCCTCCCAAGCTGCTTACAAATCCCGCCTCCTTCGCTAGATTTGATGGGACAGACTCCATTCAGACCCAAGCCTTATTGTTTAGGTGGTGTCCACGGTTTTGTCTGAGGGGCACTGAACAAGACAGCCATTTAACCAGTACATTCACTTCTTAGCATCAGTCACATTTTCTGTGCGGTTCAGACTGATGTCCACACACTTTATTCCTTTTAAACCTGCCCCTTTTGAGCCAGAGACTTGGTCATCACCCTTCGACCTGCTAGACATGCTGACCCAACCTACACTGAGGTTGGGTCACTATATTCAGAGGTGGACAGCAGTACTGTCTGATGTAGTGAGCCAGCACCAATGCTATATCTGATTCTATTTTAGCAGAAGGAAAGGTTTTGGTCACACCTGAGCAAAACTGTTGGTTGGACAGTAAATAAGCAGGTTCGGGTTACTTCATTTGTCCTCTTAGGTAGATTTGGTCGGCAGTAGTCAGTTACCCATCCCTACATGTGTATTTTCAATACACACAACAGATAATCGTAGAAAAGATTAGGGGGGAAAATTTGTATCAAAGCTATGATTTGTTTATGTGACTAATAGCTGCCGGAACAAAGCTGCTCTTTAGGCCTGAAACCTTCGTCTAGAAGGAGGAAACTGAAACACAATATGCAAAGGGTGCAAGTCGTTGAGTAAAACTAAACCAACCAACCAGCGTAACCATCGTGTGTACTGGGATGTTGGGTTCAGCTGTGGCTCACCAATCAGGCTCTTAGACCATTTAACAGTTTGAGTTCTTTACGACTCAATGTCCAAACCATAGCATCAGGGTAGGGGCTAAAACAGAGCCAATAAAAGCACAATCAAATTATGGTTTAATCGTTGTGGAAGTGAGCAAGCATGACAGGCTCTGGTGCCCTTTTTTACAAACAGCTCCACCATTTGCTTCAAAGTCCAGCTTTGAATCAATAAACAGACATTTGTTTGACGTATTTGTAGTTATAAACTGAATTAAGTAAACTAAATACTCCCTAATTCACAATGGGTCACGCCACTTGTTTTATTTGACAGGGATTTGTTTTGGTTTGGTTTAGACCTATGCCCTTCCTGATTCCTGAAAAGGATTTGTACCCATTTTACCCATGGCTCACTGATATATCATGGCAGGTTCATAGTCTATAGTATAATATTGCAATGTACACAGTCAGACAGAGGAAACTGATACCAATTCTGTGTCAATGTCTTTTATTCGCAAAGTTAATAATACAAAAACATCTTATTCCCATATTCATCATGGGAGAATTCAACATCAGGATTTTACTTATCATTACCTTGATGAGCAGAGTCAATCTCTTTTTCCTGCTCCATGTAAGCCATCAGTTATACTAATGCTAACTCAGTTTTTATTCCATTTCATGCCTTTTTGTTATTTTTCCAAGCTGAAAAATAAATTCCACGATTCCTGAGTTTTGATATAAGAACTGGTACTGGGGAAGAAGATGTTGGTTTGGTGTATAAAATGGCAAAATAATTATCTGCTTAATAATTTTAAACATAAGATACACTGGCAACATCTGCACATTTATTAAAACAATTGATCAACATGGCAAATAAAGGAACATGAGATGTATTTAGTTAGATAATATTTTTAATTCATAAATGAGCTCGAGCAGTGGCAGATTATCTAAAATGCTATTTTAATACCTCTCCTGTTACTGTAGCCTAATGTAAGGGTAGTTTGATCACATTTAGCATAATGGTTGTCTTTTTGTAAGTCATTGCAAATTCACCTTCACAGCCCAAGGTCAAGTTAAAGTGTTTAGGAAACAAGGTTTGTTTTTTGTTTTTTTAAACTATTCCTGTGTTAAACTAAGGTTGACTATAGCTTCTGTTTTACAACGGGATAAAGACAGGCCGTCCATTTTTCAATGTAGTTTTCAGTCTCTCATCTTAGCCTGTTGTTTTACACTTTAATCTGTTGTTAATGAAACTTCAACATCAATCAATCAGAGAAAAAGCTCTCCAACACCTTAAGATGAGCTGATATACATTAGTTTTAATAAGCTTTAGTGTTATTTTTTTCTGTAAATGTCTGTTTAATTTACTTCCATCACTCGGTGAGGATTTCAGGTTCTTGTTTTGTTAGGTCAGTACTGAAGACTTAACTGAAATAGACATTTCATACAAGCCTGCATGTATTTTTGTTGCTCAATTTCATTTATTCTTTGATGATATCAGTATGAGCTCTGAAATTTGTGTCTGTGAAGTAAGTTTGCAGTTTTTGGTTTTCATATTTTCATAAGAGAAAGTTGTTTCGCTATGTTCAGTTTCTGTTTCTAGCTGGTCCGAGGTTATTGATGTATTATGCATAGTATTGCTCAATATTTCTTTTATTAAAAACAAATGTGACCAAAACACTGCTGAGAATCAGCCATGTCTGCTTGAAGCAAGGCGTGCACCAATTCCATGCATTCACTTTAAAAACAAATCCAGCAGAGACAATTTATTATAAATAGAACCTCAGCTCGTTACAGCTCGGATGAGAAAATCTCATATAAGAGATGTTTGATGCAGTCAACACAAACAGCGACATGCCCATTCACTCAATTGAACTGTAGTGGAAAAACATGGCGTGGATCAAACAATGAAATAACACAACCAAGTACAGTTAGGTGTAGGGATGGGTATTGATAAGATTTTAACGATTCCGATTCCATTTTCGATTCTGTTTAATGATTCGATTCTTTATTGATTCTCTTATCGATTCTTCTTTTTAAAAAAGGAGAACACTAAGGTCGATTAGCTTAGAACTTTGTTTTATATCTTCTCTTTGAACAAGATAGAAATTTAGGAGTAACATGGCCTTACAAACCCAACAGTGAGATCTTAAGAGATCCACAGCCTACGGCTCTTCAATGGGGTGTCACAGGGTCCCCAGGAAAAAAATGTAAATGTAAAATAATAAAATAAATATTCTTCCTGTAGCAATAACAAAGTTTAACATAAATTATTCTGTAGCAATTACACAAGAATATCCAGTAATGTCCCTGCCTACAATTAAACACATTCACTTACCAAAGTGAAATCGGGGGCATCTGCTGTGGCAAATGGGTGCAAGCCTTTTACCACAAACTTAGACACTGCTCGGTGACATTCGTCTATCCTGGCCTGAAAGGAGACGCTACCGGTAGACTGCAGCGAGAACTGCCAGCATCTGAGCCAGCCAGTCTGTCTCTCTCATCATGGTCACCTAAATGCACAGTAATGGCAGGTTTTGTAATAAGGCAGATCGCCTAACATAATATGCACTGTTAGTTGATTATTTACCTGCCGCATTAACGGGAGAGGACGTGCAAACGTTACCGCTGCTGCTGGGTTGAGATTCACGAGTCCGGAGCGGAATTAAAAACACGACATTCATTTAAGGTCATCGCGTGTTTTGTGAGCAAATGCTTTTGCATATTCGTAGTGTTTCCTCCCTTAAATGAAATATCTACTTTGCAAGTATTGCAAGTTGCCCTGTTGTCATCCGTTCTCGTAAAGTATAACCAAACTTTTGAGCGTTTGAGCCGCTTAGCGCCGTGTTTCCTGCCAGGTAAATGACGCTCCGCAACGTGGTGACGTCATTCGGGGCGACTGGAATCGATAAGGGAATCGTTTGCAAAAATGGCAAACAATTCCAAGGAATTGAAACAGTGGGAACCGGTTCTCAACAAGAACCGGGTTTCGATACCCATCCCTAGTTAGGTGTGTTGTCCATATAGCATCGATGCAGGACGCTGATAACATTGGGTAGATTGACTAGCGCTTGCATCTTCGGGGTTTGTGGTTCGACTCTCCTAGTCAGCTGTGGCGTTTGCGTGTTCTCCCTGTGCCTGTGTGGGTTTCCTACACATGTGTCAGCTTCAGTCTTGTTAGGTAATCAGTGATTCTAAATTGGCAGTGGATGTGAGGGAAATAAAGTGCTTGAAGTGTTGTATGAATGTAGAGAGCTTTGAGTGGTCACTAAGACTAGAAAAGCAATAGTTAGATGCCAGTATATCATCTATTATTGGAGTCAATGCTACAGTGCTAATAAAAGACAAAAGGAATCAGCTTAGTTACATTAGCATGAATAGGAATGGCAGACAGACCTCTAAATTTCAGCCAAACAAAAGAATTTTGGTCATTTAGCAAATGCAGGTTTTTATTTTCACGCAGTCATCTCTGTACCTTAAAAGATGAATATAACTAGAGTTCTGAATCTACTTTTTAAATGTGTTTTATTTTATGTGATTTGTTTTCTTTCTCAGATCTCAGATCCATCTACGCAGCTTACTGGGACAGAGAAATGGGAGGTGTTAACCCCCACAACAGCAGCAAAAGATGAGTCTGGAATAGTACAGATCCAAAGTCAAGGGATATTAACGTCAAATGGGCAGTATGTTCTTCCTATCCAGAACTTACAGGGTCAGCCAATCTTTGTGACGTCAGGAACGGACGACTCCTCTGCCAATTCAGTGCCTAACATTCAGTACCAAGTAATTCCTCAGATTCAAACAGCAGATGGACAGCTGAGCTTCTCCACGGCCAGTGTGGAAGGACCAACCCTGACTCAGGATGCTACGGGACACATTCAGATCTTGCCTGATGGTAGCCAGAGTCTCAGTGTGACATCAACTGCAAACATCCTTAACAACAACCAGAACCTCATTTCACAGACTGCTAACATCCAGCAGATCCAGGGGGTTTCTATTGGCAGCTCCACCTTCAACAACCAGGGCCAGGTTGTTACTAATGTGCCTGTGGGTTTGCCCGGGAACATTACCTTTGTTCCTGTTAACAGCGTAGACTTGGACTCCCTTGGCTTGTCTGGTGCTCAAACTATAGCAACAGGGGTCACTGCTGATGGCCAGCTAATTATGGCAAGTCAGCCTGTGGATGGCTCTGAGAGTCTGGCTAAGACAGATGACCACCTCTCACAGACACTACCAGTAAATGACTCGAATGCAAATCCTGAGATATTTGTGCCAACGTCTTCCTCTCTACACATTACAGCAAGCGAAGCAGGTCTGCTAACCCAGAACACTTCATTACCATCAGTGGCTACGGAGCAAGCCAACCCAAGTTCTGGTCTCCAAGAAGGCTTCGTCCAGCAAAATCAGGAGCTAAATGTCCATGCGTCATCAGCTCAGCCAATCATCCAGCTGCAGCAGGTTCCTGTTCAGACCACCAACGGACAGGTGGTGCAGTCAGTGGCGGCAGGTGGGCAGAGTCTGCAAAATGTGCAACTGATCAACCCGGGAACCTTCATCATCCAAGCTCAGACAGTTACGCCATCAGGTCAGATACAGTGGCAGACCTTTCAAGTGCAAGGAGTGCAGAACCTCCAGAATCTCCAGCTGCCCACCACACCGCCCCAGCAGATAACTCTTGCTCCAGTCCAGACCCTGTCCCTGGGTAACATCAGCACAGGACAGATCCCCAACCTGCAGACAGTCACAGTCAATTCAGTGGCCCAGCAGGAAGGAGACACCGATCACCCTGCAGGTATAGTAGCTCTTCATATTGTCTCAATACACTCGGGAGAAGAAAAATTTTGACCAATTTGTCCTTTTGTGGCATCTGTACATGTACCTTATTGGTATTTATCTCCTTTTTATGTTAGCTTAAATGCATCTTTTCAGAGTGGGACAAATTAGACCTTTGCTGTTGTTATTAGTGCGTGAACTTTTTTGCTCTCTGACCATTTTTAATGTAGTCGAACCCACCTACGAGTAAAGGTCTAATCAGCAATGGAACTTAAAACACATGGTAGACTGTCCGGGGCTCTATTTAAAGGTTTTAAAGTCAAAATGCTCTTTCATTATTTTACATCCCATAATTATATTCTAATTCTCTTTAAGTTTCTTGCATATTTACTTTTAAATCTAGCCCGTTTAGTGGCTTCCAGAAAGGTCTTTCATGTGCAAATTACTTGTAAATTGCTATAATGTATTCAATTACTAATTATACTAATGCAATGAAGGTCAGTGGAATTTGTTCTTGGTGCTCGGAGTAGACAATCCAGTGACGTCTTTGTATTTGTTTTACTTATTTATTCATAATATATTTATATAATAATCCATGTAACTTTTAGATTATGTGTTGTTGTTTAAAAGCACACTTGGAAATATCAACGTTGGTAATGGCTGGATTCCATTTAGATGCTTTTGTTTCAAGATCCTAAAGTTGTGCACGTGAAACATCGTCGTGTTTATGGGGACACAGGAATAACATTAAACAATTACACCAGTGCGTTTTCTCCAATGACCGCTCTGGTCCATATTGACATGATAGCATCCAACAGTTTCGGCAGATTTCACATCATAATGTGAATTTTCCATTCCCAGAGGTGCTGTATTGGGCTGAGATCTGGTGACTTGTGTAGGACATTTGAGTACCAAGAGCTCATTGTCATGTTCAAGAAACCGGTTTGAGATTAGCAAATTATCCTGGACATAGTCAGCAAAAATCCTCCTGTAGGGTGTGTTGTTTAAACAATGCTCAGTTGGTACAACGTGGCCCAAAGTGTGCCAAGAAAATATGGCCCACACCATTACACCAGCAGCAGCAGCCTGAACTTTTAATACAAGGCGGTCTGCATGCCTAAATGCACTGATTTGCCCCCATGTGTTTCCATTAAAGAGCAGTTAAACAGGTGGACCTAATAAAGTGGCCAGTGAACGTAGTCTGCTTAGTCTCATCAACACTCATTGTTTACGTCCTCAAAACGTCTTTGTGTTTCAACTTTATATGTAATTATTGCTGTCATAACATTGTGATGAAATTTCTGATTGTAGCAAAGTCCATCCACCCATTTTCTGTCACTCATGTGGGCCAAAAAGTCCACAGGGTACGCTTAATTAGTCATCAGAATTCTCACTGATACATTAAGTCTGCTGCCTTGCTGTCAATCACACACAGTTACAAAGCAGCTCTCACTGTTCAGGCTTTTTGGCCAGTTATAACTGAAGACTGTTAATATTAATTTTTAGATATTCAGATCAAGGAAGAGCCAGACTCTGGAGAATGGCAACTTAGCACTGATTCTACCCTGAACACGAGCGATCTGTCCCACCTCCGAGTCAGACTGGTGGATGAGGAGGATCAGCTTGGCCAAGAGGGCAAGAGGCTGCGCAGAGTGGCATGTACCTGCCCTAATTGCAGAGAGTCGGGTGGCAGGTGAGTAATCTTGACCTTTGTTTCTTTTGTTTCTCTCATCTATGTATCAGTATCTTTAATGTCAGTGCCTGTGTTTCGCAGAGGATCTAGCATGGGGAAAAAGAAGCAGCACATCTGCCACATCGCGGGCTGTGGGAAAGTATACGGAAAGACATCGCACCTGCGAGCACACCTGCGCTGGCATTCAGGGGAGCGACCTTTTGTTTGCAGCTGGATGTTCTGTGGGAAGAGGTTCACACGCAGCGATGAGCTGCAGAGGCACAGGAGAACACACACAGGTGCCCTTTTTTTTGCTCCCTTGATGTTTGCACATCAGGAAAACATCCATAAAATCAGTAAAATGTGTTAATTTGTGCCCTGCAAAGCGTGAGTCACCTAAGAAATAACAGCGTTTGTCCCCCTCTGGATTTAAAATGTCAGGTTAGGATTGAAGACCATTGTGAGAAAAACACACATAGCTAGATTCACTGGCTTAGAGGGAATCTTAAAATGTGCTTTAAACAGTTTGTCCTGCAGTTGAAGGATCTGTTAACAACAGTGAAACTTTACAACAATAGTGAGCTGAATGTTTATTGTTTTGATTTTTAGTCATGATTCATGAAATGCAGGAAGTATGAGTGTATGTATGAGAATTCCAGATAAATCTACTGCCACAACGTTAATGGCAGGACAGACCTTTGATAGCGATATCACCACTTGGTCATACTGTTATCTTTGCATATCGCTGGCAGAGCGAGGCCTCTGACAACACGGGCTAAAGTAGCCTTTTATTACGCTGTCAGCTGCAGGATATGAACAGTTAGCATTCACAGTTAACATTTCAAGAGGATGTTCGATGATTGTAGGCTTCTAATTGGTAATAATTGTAATCAGCTGTATAGCGTCAATTTGTCATTTCTGTCAGTGACAGACTGGCTTTAGGAAACTAATTCAGATTAAACATTGGACCCAGGTCATACAGCGTTCAGTAACAGCACACAATAAAACTATTAAGAATGTGCATGTCGCTGGCAGTTCTGCCTTTTGTTATTTTTGTGTGTTCCATCTATTCATGGATCAATCAATTTGAACTTTGCTTGGCACTTTTTTTTTAACTTCTTGTGATCTGGTGATAGACGACATGCTTAACCCTCTCCAAATGAATTCAGCATCAAACTATCTTTGAAACTGTTTCCTCTCTCTCTCTCTGGCAGGAGAGAAGAAGTTTGTCTGCCCAGAATGTTCCAAGCGCTTCATGCGGAGCGACCACCTGGCGAAGCACATTAAAACTCATCAGAACAAAAAAGGCGTGAACTCTGGCAGCGCCGTGGTGGCCTCGATGGAATCCGCAGGGTCCTCAGACAGTATCATCACCACGGCAGGCACCACCCTCATCCTCACCAACATCCAGCAGGGCTCCAGCAACGCCCAGGACATCCTAGCCAACGCAGAGATCCCACTCCAGCTCGTCACCACAGTAGCGGCCAGCGAAGTCATGGAGTGATTTACACTCCGCTTATGAACTTCTGCGACCTCCCTCATACTGTATACTCCTACCTGCATTTTTATTCACGTTTTGAAGGAAAAAACTAAAATTATAAATATATAAATATATATATTTTAACACAGAAATAGTCAGTCCGTGTCCATCCTCAGCGCATACTGAGAGAAAACAAGCAAAGGTGGAAAAAGACATTGCAGTAAACACACAAGGAAATGCCTTATTTTGTACAATACTGTGTAGTTGAAAAATGTAGGATTCCACTTTCTTTTAAAATTTACTTATTTGTTAATAATGTGATTTTCATGAAAATGATTGGTAAGTTGAGCAGTCTCTTTTCTCCTCACCTTTTGTTGATGGTGTATTTTGATATGTATTTTTCTCATAAAGTGGGCAACCCCCCCCCCCCCCCCCCCCCCCCCCCCCCCCCCCCCCCCCCCCCCCCCCCCCCCCCCCCCCCCCCCCCCCCCCCCCCCCCCCCCCCCCCCCCCCCCCCCCCCCCCCCCCCCCCCCCCCCCATATATGTAGACCCAGACCTTTATACTGCATACAATCAACTGCAGTATTTATTAACTGTTAAGTTTTTAAAAATATGTTATCTTATTATGCATTCTTGTTTCCTTCCAGTCTGCTTGCAAAGCCCTCCTTCCTCCCTTTTTAATGAGTTTGCTCAAGCCTGCTACATTTTGCAGGTGAAAATGGAAAAACAATCAAATTTTTTTGTATTTTAATTCCTCTTAACATTTACTCTTGATATGATATACATTATTTGCATATGAAATATTTTGACTGAAGAGCTGTTTATATTGGGCTTTACATAAACGACGCGTTTGCGCCATTGAAGGTTCAGAACATTTCAAATGGCTCCATTATATGTAATTCATGTGTTTTTTGGGGGGGTTTGTAGAAAAAAGAAAAAAAAAATCCTTTTTGGAGGATTTCCAAATGAAAATATGTTGTAATATTAAGAAAAAAAAGCCATTTTTCTGGAGGTAATTGCCAAATTGAAAACCAAACTCAGGGTGACTCGTGACTGTGTGATGTAAGTAAAGGTAAATTACCCCTGTAGCTTCTCGGGCCATAGCGGGATGTTGTGGGAACATTTGTTTTTTTTTTTGATGGACGGAAAAGCTGAGGCCAATGAAGCTGTCATCATGTTACCTATTTGATCCTATCATGTCAGCTGTGCTTTATATTATAATTTCTCTTTTCATAGCACCCACCTGTTCATGTTAGGAAGTTTTCACCAGGATCTGGCTCTATCGGTCCTATCGCGCACTTGAAAAATGTCTGTATTACTAAAAAGTGGTACTCTTTTAAACGTCACTGCTCTCAACACTTTAATCTTGTTCAGATTTTGTATAAAAATATTTTGTATGTTTCCCAGCAAACTGTCTGTTATACCCACTGTCAGTAAATGTGCATTGCTTTTTTTTTTTTTTTTCTTCTCGTGTTGTATTTCTTTATCTGCATGTTACATTCCCCTGTAGTGGGTTATCCATTTATGTCTCTTATTTCTTTCTTCTACTGCCACCTCCCAAACTGCTTAACTATTAAATTGAATACACATACACACTGAATATTAAATTTACTTGTTTCATATTTATTCTTTAGTTTTTTCCCCTATTTTGAGACCTTCCTCTTCAAGAGAGATTAAAATGCCATCTGAGTCAAATAGCAAGAAACGCATGAAGAAGAATCTTCATATTCTGTGCTAAACACTGAAGGTTTATCCTCACTCCAGTCTTCTGTATAAATATGTCAATATAGCATCAATATAAATGTTTCTGTTATACTTGAATGCTCTTTATTTTTTGATTTCTTCATTTTTTTTTTTAATGTATCTTGGTTGTACCATGTCTGCTGTCTGAGGGCAGTTTGATATTTCATACTAAAACGACTAAACGTGAGACCAGTTTGATTTTTTTTTTCTTTTCCCCCAAAGACGCATCAGCTCTTTGCAAAGCGCATACTGTGGGTTAGTAGTCCAGTAGATGTCACTACAGCCAAGGGATGAGGACGGGAGGTACGTTTGACCCCTTGACCTTCCCCGTGTAGCTGCAGCTAAGATGAAGACAGAAGTCACCGAGGCCAATGAGAAGTGCAGACCCCACAATTAACCGCAAGTTAATGTCACACAGAAATGTCAGGAACATATTCTGCTGCTGGAGAACCAACTGCTGTCTCGTGACTTTGAACAAACCCTGCAGAGAGGCACGAGACGTAACAGCTGCTCTGCCTCCGACTTCAAAATGTGCACGCCATTTCCTGACGCTAATTTATTAATATTTTGATTAACCTCGGATCTGACACGTGCCGCATCACTATCTTTAACTCGTCCACTAAATGGGACATTTTGCTAATTCGGTAGTGTTTCTATTTTGTTCTATAACATTAGACTCAAGTCTGCAGAATCAGGGAGTTGGTTACATATTATAGCCTACCTGGTTTTAGTGCCTGTGAACATAATTAAAGTGGTAGTCTATGAAAAGCTTTATCTGGTAAATCTGAGTGGAAAGCACATGCTTTTTGACTCTTAGTCAATTTGAGTTTGAAAATGTGGTCCATAATGTTCAAAAGGACTCGTTCATTTTGTCGTTCCTTTCATTTGCATAATTTAATGAATCCAATTCATTGTAATGCAATACCAAGTGCACCAGGAACATAGAATGACAGTTAGAGTTAATGAAATGTGTTAACGGTATCATCATTTACGTGTATGTTAATTAGTCCAATTAATTTCCTCTGCTCGGTAATCTGAATATTGTAATAATCTTTGCTCCCCTGCAGGAATGAAATCTGTGATGCACAGACCTCAGGGACGATCAGCGCCGAGTATCGTGGTTTTTCCAGTTGTGAATTGTTGCAGATTTGAGAAAAATTCAGGTGCTTTAAGGTATTTTCTTTTAGTTTTTTTTTTTTAGGTCTGTGCAGCTTAATATTGCATACCACTGGTTTTGTGTCATCTGCTTTAAGCTTTTATGATGCAAATCATACTCCTAGACCAGTATCAGACCCCAGGATAACTTAGTCTTGCTTGACAAAGTGCCACTGCCTCGTAACAGGAAGAGCCGCGGTTCTTCTGGCCGTGGCAGATAAAAGGTGCCATCAGTGGGCGATCCTCCGTGGCAGCTCGGCAGGTTAAAGGGAGGAAAGAGAGATCGGGTGGCTGCTAAGCGTGACACTATCCACACTCACTTTTCAACTAGCCACCTAGATTTGAGGCGAACTTTGTTCAAGCTCCTCTTTTTGTGTTCTGAGACGCTTATGTCAACATCACCCCGCAGTATATAATAACGACAAGAGCTTTCGGCAGTCCAGTTAATGAATTTTGAGATACATCTTACATTTTTAAAAAAAGAAAAGAGCCACAGCTACATGCAAGGCTTAGATTTGATCAGGTGATGTCTTCGCAGCACGCACTTAGTTGCAAATTGTAAGCGATGCCGTTTGAAGACTACGTGGAGCACATTTTCGCAGAACAACAATGAATCAGAATTCATCCTGTGTCCTGCTTTGGAGAGCAGAAGCAAAGAGATTTCCATCATATGACTTCTGTGTTGTGTTTTTGTGATAGACAGGTATCATTTCAAGCAGCGCTTACACTACAAGTTGCTTGTACGCCTCCATTGTACCAAATAGATTTGGTTCTTCTAACTCTGTTTTTGAACAGCGGTGTAATTGTACATGGTGCTCAACTTCTCTTCCAATTCATGTGCAAAATGCATAAATACAATAACTGTGCAGAGGGAAAGGAACACTGTAATCATGCAATAACATTTCCAACTGTATGTGTGATAGAATTCAAAATGATATTGGGATTATGGTTCTTAACCATTGGGAGGTAATGTGAACTGTTGGCAGAAATGACTTATTTCATTATGCTGTCCCAAATATACGAAATACTTCAGCGAGAGGGCTGCTTCTTCCCTATCCGTGCCCAATTTTAACTGTTTTCCCCAGTTGTTGAAGGATAGGCCTGCAATTTTGCAGAATGACTATTATTTGCCTTTCTCAAGGAATCAACAACTTGAAAGTACAGTGCAATGAATTGTTGGGGTTGTGCAGCTGCATTCATTTACAATGTGCCCCCCCCCCCCTCAAAACATTTCACAGAATTTAAAGCATAAAGCCTTTATCTAATTTTTGCTTAGATATGAGCTGCAAGCCTCTTCATAAGTGAAAAGCACTTACCATGCCGCTTAATATTTTGTTTACAGCGGGGTACTTATGTACTTATGTTGTTTTTCTCTTTAACCATTAGGAGGACATTTGAAAGTATGTGTTTTTTTAAAAGTGCCTCCCGTTTCAACATTCCTGACACATTCTTGCCCTTGATCAACTGCAGAAGGCAGACAATAGTGCAGATCATTTTCCCCAGGCAAGGAAACACAGCATGGATCAACTCAATAACCTGATATTCGCTGTCTTCTGAATGTGGCCAATTTAGCAGAAGGTCAGTGCCTTTTTTTTTTACTTCAGAGACTATTTGGTGACCTCCCTCCAGAGCCCCAGCAGGACCAGAAGAGACAAACAGAATCGTCGAGCTAGAAAGTGCTTGTGCTGACATTGCTTTAAGGTCTGGACTTGTCAAGGTGAACAGATACCTGGCGTGGGACAGGGGGGCTATTATGTAAACCTGGTGGCCAAGACTAGTAGTTGCATGCTTGTGGATTTGATTTTGTTTGCGCGCGTATGCGTGTGTTTTTTGGTCATTATTGATAATAACATTATAGATGTACAGCCAGTAGAAGAGTAAGGTGTGTGCGTGTAGCTGCAAATCGTCTTCCATCATCCTCCTATGCAGAGGTGCCCTTCACAGCGACAAATTTAACACTCTTGTCTCGGGAAAATTATGGTCTGCTATGTTCTGTTTCAAGAGGGTGGAGTTCAGATCAGATCTGTCTTTGCTATCTTTATTGTGAAATTTCGCTCTCCTGCCGTTTTGCATTTATTCAATGTATGTTTTTGGGTGGGTTTTTTTTGCAAATCCAGCTGAGAAAATTGAATCAACAACAATGCAAGACCTCCATTTGAAATTTCCCACATTATGCCATTCTTTGTACTCATACACAGTATGAGTCTGTTTTTAGTGTGGAGACAATTGCATAAGATAACGTTAGAGATCTATGAGAAGATTAGCAGGGATAATTTTTAGCCTTTCCTCACAGCAGTCATATAGTTTTCACTCTGTATGAAATAACTCTCTTTATTGTGAACCTCAAGGTCAAACAGCTTCAACTTTCCCGAGTCGAGGGGAGGGAAAAAAAGACAGAAAAAGAAACACTGCGAGTGTGCGCTGAGTATTTTCTTTCTGTGACAAGAGCTGGCCTCCGGACCATTGAAAACAATTTCCGACATGAAAGGAG